GAGCTGCCTGTCGGAGGGAGGGACCAAAGTCCAGGTGGGAGGGGCAGGTCGTGAAGCTTCCTTAGCCAGTCTTTGTCGTTCGTAGTGAGCATAGATCAGCGGTGCGGATGCTTGCAAATCTGCTCGTGAAATCCATAGAGTGTCGTCAGGATCGCATGCTTTGAAGGTAACTTTGTACTGTCAAGGTAGCCGTACTTGCAATCCGCGATGACGCGGTCGACTTCCTGATGACCATCCATAGACGGAGGGTCTTGCGATCATCGGCCCGGGAAATCGTCGCTCTTAGCTGGTGTGTATGTTTCCAGCTTCGAGGCGTGAAAGACTGGATGGACCGGCAGATGCGGAGGGATGTCGATCACAAAGGATGGGCCATCGGGCTCGTCGCCTGCGGCTGAAAGGACGGTCCATGGTCCAAACCACTTGGGGAGTAGTTTGTGCGAAACATCCTGTTCGAGCGCAAACTCTTCCGCGGAGACTCAAACCAGATCACCGACGCAGATGGGACATGGCACACGATGCCTGTTGGCTTGCTGCTGCATGCGGACTTGAGCCTTTTGCATGTTCGCATAGGCTCGAGTCAACAATTCCCTATACTTTCGGACGGATGCAGGAGAGCAAGCGGCATCTACGTCGGTTGTTCGTGGAAGGAGAAGAACAACGAAGACACGGACTTTCCGGCCACCGTGGTGCAACTCGAATGGAGTCACGTCGATTGCCGGATGCAACGAAGTGTTGTAGGCGAACTCGATGTCGGGGAGGCGGTCAACCCAATCCTTCTGATCCGGACGTATGAGCGTACGGAGCATCATTTGATCAGTTTGATGTGCCCGCTCCGTTTGCCTGTCCGTTTGTGGATGTCGAGCCAAACTTGGTTTCATTTTGGTGTCGGATTCTTGCACGAGAGAAGTCCAGAATGCCGACATGAAACGGTACGCCGTGGCTGCAAATCCAGCCGGTGTGCAAGAGGCGCGCAAGCTCGGGAGTCGTGGTGTAGTACTTGCAAGGGAGAAATCACGCGTATTTACTCAATCGGCCAACGACTGTAAGGATGCCGTCATGCCCGAAGCGGTCGCGGGGAAACGGGCCGGTGACGTCCATGGCAATGGAGAGGCCGGGTTCCAGTGGAATAGGCAACGGGCGCAACTCGCTATAGGGATTGCGGTTGCGGGGCTTGCTTTGTCGACAAACTTCGCAAGAGTCGCAATACTGAGTGACATCGGTAATGATGTCAGGCCGCTGGAATTGTTGCCCTAGTCGTGCGATAATCCGATTGACTCCGAAATGGCCGGCGAGTCGTGGTACTCACCGAGAAGGCGAGTCCGAAAACGACAGTCTCGTAGGACATACAATAAGTCCTTGCCTCGCAAGTGGAGAAGCTAGTACTCGTAGACAATGCGATAATGGCTGGCTGGCGGGTGATCCGAAGATAACTGCGCATAGAGTGTGGCATAATCCGGATCAGACTCATAGCCCCAGATGAAGTGTCGTCGGAGTTCCTCGTCGAACGTGACGACATGATGTGTCATAGTGCAAAGATCGGGTCTTCGCGAGAGTGCACCTGCTGCGCGATTGGAGAGACCGGCGAGATGATTCGGTGTGAAGTCAAATTGGTCGATGAAGTATATCCATCGTCCGATAGTTCTGCTCCGTATTCTGTGTCTTGTAGTAGGTCAACGAGTTGTGATCAGTGACCCATGTGAACATGCTACGCCCAAGGAGGAAGTACCACCGTCGCTTGAGAGCCATCACAAACGCAAGCAGCTCCCTTCTTCCTTGCCTCGTTAAGAGAATTGATGGGAGGCACCCTGTGGCTGAAATACTCCACGGGGTGCCAGTCGTTGCGGTCGAGTTGTTCCAAGACTGCCCCAATGTCATAGCTGAAAGCATCATTCTTTACTCTCGTTGGCAAGGTAGGGTAGTAGATGGTAAGGACGGGTGCCATGAGCATGGCCGTCTTGAGTGCTTGGAATAACCACGCACTTCGTCATTGAATACAACGGCACCTTTGGCGATTGTAGTCTCGTCAATGGTGAGGCGATCCTTGAGTACCCGAT